GCAGAGGGGCAGGATCCCCTCCCTGAGCTGCTGCTCACGCTCTGGGGGTTCAGCCCAGCACACGGGAGGGGTCTGGGCTCAAGCACACACTGAAGCTGGGTCATGGGGAGCTTCCCATTGACCAACACCCCCAAGTCCTTCTCAGCGCTGCTGTTATTTCCCCACTTCCAGACAAGTTTCATGAAAATAAACCCCAGGAAAGTGTTGCTTTAAGGAAAGATGCCCTCAGGTCCCCTGGGGAAGCTGTTGGGACACAGAGGGCAAAGGAGCTCCTGACATTCCTCCAAAGCTCAGCCCATGCTTTGGAGGAATTCAGTGGAAAGCCAGTTCTGCACAGAGCAACACTGACTCCACGTGGCTGGTGGCCCTGGTCCCAGAGGCACCAGCCCTGCTGCAAACACCCTGTGCTCAGAGGTTTGTGCTGGAGAGCTGGGAAAGGCAAAGACACCGGAGCAGTTGCGGAAGGGGCGGTCAATGGAGTAACGCTGCAGTGGGTCAATCTGAAGGCCACGGGAGCTGCTCTACCAGCAAAGTTGGGGGTTTATGCCCACACAGAAAGGGAATTGTTTTTCAGGTGAACTGTAATCCTTCATCACTTGCAAAACATGGCAAAAACAAGCCAGAGCCCCAAACCACCACCAACCACCCCCCAATTGCTGGTTTTGTCCTTATTTCCCTACTTCTCACCCCGACATTAGTACACAGAAGCTGTTGCAGCACAGGGGAGCAGGGCAGAAAGCTCCTGATTCAGGCTTTGTGACCCCAAGAGGCAGCAGAACAAGCCCCCAGCTGGAGCAGACCTTCCTGCAGGGCTGCAGCCACCCCCTGCAATGGATGGGTGTGGAGGAGACCCGCAGCAGCGCTGCCATGGCCTGGGCTGGCTGCACAACACTGGCATCTCCAACCCAACAGCTCAGGGACCTGGAGAAGGAATGTGATGGCAAAGGCTGTGTGACAGAGATGAAGATCATGACCGAAAGCTGGCTGTGAACAGCAGGGTATGGTCCAAAGGACAGGCACAGCGCAGTTAGAAGCAGGCTAGAAGCATTTAGAAAGCACAGATTCATGGAATGGTTTGGGTTAAAGGGACCTTAAAGCCCATCCAGTCCCAACCCCCTGCCACGGGCAGGGACACCTTCCACTAGAGCAGGTTGCTCCAAGCCCCTGTGTCCAACCTGGCCTTGAACACTGCCAGGGATGGGGCAGCCACAGCTTCTCTGGGCTCCCTGTGCCAGCGCCTCAGCACCCTCACAGGGAACAGCTTCTGCCTCAGAGCTCATCTCAGTCTCCTCTCTGGCAGGTTAAAGCCATTCCCCTTGGCCTGTCCCTACAGGCCCTTGTCCAAAGCCCCTCTCCAGGTCTCCTGGAGCCCCTTTAGGCACTGGAGCTGCTCTAAGGTCTCCCCTTCGCCGAAGGTGCCAGCACCCACTCGCTGGGAGCTCCTCCACAGCCCTCATGTTCTTACCAGCAGCTTCCAGCTGGTGTTGAGGAGCCATGGGGCTGGGCAAGGCTGAGCCAGCAGCAACCAGAAGCAGCAGCTCTGGCAGTGGTGGGGCAGCCCCAGAGCTGTTCACAGTGAAGCACAGCTCTGCTTTATGCTCCATCACCCCCAGGGTAGGCAGGCACCAGGCTGGACACCCTGAGTGGACACCAAGCCCTTTCCCACCCCGCAGCTCAACCAGTTTGTAATGATTTCTGCATTTCATCTCCCTCAGCCTGTCTGCTCAAGAACTAAAGAGTAATATTCCCCCCAAACCCTTTATGAATGCTTAAATCCTGTCACACAAAAGAGAGCTTAAAAGGACCAAATGCAGAAGGTAATTCTTTAAGACCTTTATTAACAGATGCTTGCAGTTTGACTTGAAAAAATCAGGTGTATATTTCATACAAATTAAAAATGAGGTTCTTAAAAATCTCAACTTGACCAGATATGAAACAATTTAAAAACCTTTAAAGGTATATTGAGAAAAAACAGACTTTTAAAAAACGTGTTTATCGTTTCCAAAAGGAGACTTCTTTAGGTAAAAATAATAAAAACCCCATGCTGCATAGACAATGCAGATAGTTCTAGTAATCTGGTCAACAGCAAAAAGCAAGCACTTAAGGTCTTCAGTTCCAATTCTTTTGTTCATTTCTTATTGCTGGAATTTCATTTTCTTTTCTTCTTCATTTCTTAAGTCTTTTCTTTGATGACTAAACTGAAAGAGAGGAAGAAAAGGACGATCAAACCCGTGTCAGGGGCTCACGTGGATGTTTTGCCTACCAAGAGTGGCCTGGGAGCACAAATCCTCACTGAGCCACCTCTCACACACACACAGAGGAAACCCTCCCCAGCTGCACCCACTGCCCCAGCCCAACCCAGAGACCAAACCAGGTACCTTCCATTCAAAACCAACCCAAAGGTCTCCAGAAAGGGAAGAGACATGAGCCTCAATAGACAAGAGTTCATGGACCCCCATTACACCCGTCCCCTCCCAGGCAGAGCTGCTCACATCAGGCTCTGCACACACACAGCTCAGGCAGGAGGACAGGGAATATCTTGGGAAGGTGATGGAAGAGCATATCTACCCACACTTAAAAGAGGCAGCTGTGGTAAGCCACTGCCCAAACCACAGGAACCACAACCCACCAATACTGTTAATAGAGCAACCAAAAGATCCCCGTGGTGCTTCTCTGAAGCTGGTGACATGAAGAATCCATTCAGTGGGTGTTCACCATGATGATGGACACCAGGATAAAACCGGGGTTCATGTCGAGCACACAGAGAACACCACAGCAAGGCTTGAACCCAGCAATACCCAAGCCAGCGAGGAACAAGTCCCTCAGCCAGTCCCTCACAGCCAGAAGTGTCTGCGGCTGCTGGCACCAAGCTCCATGCCCAGCTCCTGTACTCCCTGCTCATCCCACTAACAGGACCAGTCCCACCAGAATCCAAATGTGCCCTTCTGTTTGCAGCCCTCCAGGCAACAAGTGATGAGTGAGACACAATAGAGTGGGACATGAACACTGGTGAGAGGAAATACATAGAGAGGAAGAACAGGCAAGGAAGGTGCCAGAAAAAGCACAGAACAAGTAGACAGAGCCCAGGCAATGAAAATGTTCCCAAATTAGCAGAGCTGCCCACCAGAAGACAGCTCAGACCAAGTGCCAGATTACAGTCCATCTACCTTGCAACAAAAACCACAAAAAGCCATCCTCCCCAGTGGCAAAGCCACCAGTACCACAGCACTTCAAACAGGCGGCCTGCACACTCCACAGAAAGGATCATCTCTGCCAGGTTTCCCAGCACCTCCTTGGGAACTCCACATCAACTTTCTACCCATCACTGCTGAGAGTACTTGACACTACCTGCTTCCCCTTGGGGAGGAGTGACAAGAGCTCAAGCACTCACAAGGCAGAATAAACCCCTGTCCCCATCTCTCCTGGCTTTGTCACTCCACCAGCACCACCCGAGTGACTATTTCTGGGTGGACAAAGGCAGCTCCAAGTCTGAACTACTGAGCACAGCCAAGAGTTTAAGCATAACTATTCCAGGCAGTGACTCCAGCAGCGCAGATTGAAGCTGGTCACTGAGTCCACCCAACTCATGTGGATGCGCCCAGCCCGGTCCCGCAGCTCAGCTCCGCAGGGTCACAACACGCGAGTAGGGACAGCGCACACGAGGTGAGGCCCGGTGGTGCCCCGGAGGCGCCGCACACGCACCCGGATGATGGTAGAGGTGGAAAGCCGGTGTTTACTCAGCCCCGCCCTGCTCGGCCTCGGGAGCGGGGAGCGGACGGGTTCTCAGCTGGTGGTTCGGCTGCCTTCGTCTCTTTGCCATCTTGTGGTTTAGGGTTCTCCGGGCGTCTGCGTCGGTAGTTGAAGTTACGGCGGTACCGACGTTGAGGTGGCTGCTGACTTTGGGTCTCGTCCCCTTGGTTCTCTTTATCTTCTTCGTTCCCGTCCTCTCTAGGCTGTCTCTGACGAGGAGGACCCCTGAAAGTCAAGCTAGGCTTTAACAGTGCAGCATCTGACCATCGCCATGTTCTGTCTCTGTTGCTAAAAGGTAGGGTTAAAAGGAAAGAAGTTGATCTCCAGCATACCTGCGAAATCGTGGTCTATAACCTCGATACATGTTCTGCCTGACTGGTCTGCCTTGTTCTCCTGCACCCTGGTTGTCAGCACCCTGGAAGACATCCAGCAACAAACCACCTTAGTCACCTGCTACAAGTGTGTTTAAGGCTGCAACTAGTCAATTTGTGAGGAAGAGGTAGATGTAGGCAAGGCCTCAGTGGTGGCCTTGGCAGTGCTGGGGGAACGGCTGGACTTGATGATCTAAAAGGTCTTTTCCAGCTTTCTTGATTCTATGATTCTATGGCTGTGAGGGGACTGGCAATTTAAGCCCAAGGTGCACAACAAGATGGGCAGCAGTCCCAGGGCACAGCAGCACACATAGAATGAATCACAGAATGGTTTGGGCTGGAAAGGACCTTAAGATCCTCTAGTTCCAACCCCCAATATGATGTAGAAATTGTGTTTCCTCACATTAATCATATAGGAAGTTAACCCAAATCCAAATGGCTTTTTAAACTGTGACATTAAGACCTTCGGTTCATTGGCACCTGTTGCAACATTTTCATCTTGCTGCCAAACCTCACCCAAACCATCTCCTGTACGACAAAAAGCAGCATCCCACCACCCAGCGTAGCCTCCCTCTCAAGCAGTTACCTCCACTATCTCTCCCTGCACGGGAGGGTTGGAATATTGTGGTCGACGCCCGTAGGGCCTACGCATGTAGTAAGGTGGGTACCGCCGCCTGCGATAGGGACGGCGTTGCTGGGCTTGACCTTCTGGTATGTTCTCTGCTCCTTCGTTCTTTTCCCCACTCTCACTGTTCTGGTAGTTCTGCTGGTAGTTGCGTGGAGGACCCCTGCGACGTGGGTATCGTCTGTAATGGTTACGGTCTGCTGCGTATTTGCTGCCTTGCACTGGGACTCCACCAGGACCGGTAACGTTTGCTGCCTCCGCGCCCTGCAGAGCGGGGATGGCGTTAGGGGCACGGTCACACCGGTCACAGCACTCTGTCATTTAGTACCCACCAAGGATTTACATCCCCACTGGAAAGCAATGGAAAACCATTCACCCCTTTGGGTGTCATCAGGCATCAGCTCAGCCTGAGGCACCTCAGACCAGGTTTTCCACACACACCCCGACACCCAGGAGACACCTTTACCTTTTCTCCTTCAACCACATCAAACTCCACGGTCTCTCCATCTCCTACGCTGCGGAGGTACTTCCTGGGGTTATTCTTCTTTATGGCAGTCTAACAACAGAACATTGCACAATTACACTTACAGCACAGCACGAGAATACTACTTAGTATTCTTCCTTTTATTTTAAGATTAAGGAATTTGACTATTTGGTATCTTAGGAGAAAGACCTGTACTCCTGAAAAGGCAGTTAAGCTGCTGCGAAAATCCAGCAAGCCATAAAATCTAACTGCAGTACTACAGCTCTGGCCTATCTGCAACATGCAGCAGCTTTACCATTGACTGGAAACAACTGTCAACACGCTGTCTGCTAGCTGCAAAAGCAGTTTGAAAACAAACGAACCCCCCATACACACTGGCCATAGTATTCCTAACGAGAGCTCAGCATTAAAAGCCCCCAGAGCAGCGACACATCCCTCTGAAGCACACACACAAACCTATCAGCCTTTCCAGCTGCACTCTCAGATTCCCAGTCCTCACCAGTTCCCACACCACCACGCTATGCAGCAGCCATCAACGGCCAGAACTCAAGAGATTTCTTCCTCCAAGGCTTCCAATACCACCACTTCAGCCACAGTATTTACTGATCAATCGTAAGTTTACTCTTGCTGTGTATGATGCACCAAGGATTAGCCCTCCCCAAGGTGTCAGCACCACACAAACCTTTGTGTTGGTGTCTGCATGTGAAATGACAGTACCAGAAAACCCTGACTTTTCTGTGCTATTCAGCAGTGGATTAAGTTTTTGACAGATGAGTTAATACTCGATGTGCACAGCTCAGCCACATCCTGCTTATCAAACACTTTGAACAGTAACACGAGTGTAACAACTTTACAAAAAATCACCAGCAACACAATTTGAGTAGGTTTTTACCCCTCAATGGAATCAAATCCATGGAAAAACATGCCCATAGGTCTCAGCCTATAGAGCAATGATTTTAGGGAAAGCCTTATTACAACAGCAGCCAGTCCAACAGCTCTTCATGAGACCCCAGCTCCATGATGGGGATGGGAGAAAGCACACGCAGACCTATTTCTTTCAGATTAGACCCCCAAAACTTGTTTGTAATGAAAATTCTTACACTGAAACACATCACTGCCAAACCATGCTTTTAGAAACATAGGCAGCAGAGACATGACAAGTCCTGGGATCTGATTTGTAAGTCAAGGTCATTTACAGGTTACTATACTTGCAAACTGAGTAATGAGGTCTGACAGCTTTCCTTCAGGGTGTGTATTCCTGCCTCAGAACAGAGACACAGCACAGTCACTTGGCCTTTCTCCACTGCCCATTACAGAATAACCTTTCATAAACAAATGCCTCTACATTTTAATCACAGGTAATTTAGATGTGGCCCAAGCAAGAAGCCAAGAGCTGGCAAACCAAACTCAAGTCAAACACTTTCCGGGGTTCCTTTTTCCTCCCTTTGTCTTTACAACAGCAGCAGTGTACCCCTAACTCAAAACAAAAAAACAGGCCATGGACTCCATGGATTCCAGATGTAAACCACGCTCCCCATGGCACTCCTGTGCACTGCTTCACAACAGGAAAGCCCAAGACAGAAAGGGTAGAAAGCACAGTGCTTACACACAGCCTTACAACTCAGAGGACTAAGCTAAGGTCAATCTGCTCCACAGAATTAGCCACAGGTGTGGTGCTCACTCTGGTCTGGTTTCCAGAGGTTTACAAACTCACTGACAGTTACAACTAACAGAAAAGGTTAAAGCATTTGCAGGCTTCCACTGAAAGCCTGGAGCAATAAATGTTGCACAAGTTTTGCCTAGGAAAAAAACCCAAGAAACCCAAAACATCTTCACTGGCACTTCATTTCAATCACAGCACAACTGATTTCTCTCCCTGCTGCATGCTCTTCATTTATCTATGTCCACATCCAGCTGTTTGAATCCACAAGGCAACTTAATTGCACTTCAAGCAGTTACCCTTAGCTAACAGCAGACAGTGGGACTTCATGGCTGTACAGTACCAGCCTGTTCAACCCACCTATCTCACACCTCCCATGACAGCTGTACATGGCTATGCACAACCCCTGGTCACAAGCAGGCTCTGCCTGTGATCCAGTAGTGAGAAAGAGTTGTTTGTGTTCAAGTAACAGCTCTTGGAAAACATGAGGCTCCTTCACAGCTTCAATCCTACCTACAGAGGAGACACGTAGAGAGTTTCAGAGGTAACAAGGATCTTACCTGATGGACAAACACATCTTCCTTGGTGTCATTCCTGCAAGACAACAGGAAATTGAAATTCATGTAGGAAATGCACAGTAAATTAAGAATTCAGCTGTTTGGGGTGAGGACAAAAACATAGATCTCTCAAGACACCTAGCTTTCAGCATCTGCCTTGCTCCTCAACCTGCTCTCAACTAGTCCCCTACCAGCTTACCGCTTGAAATAAAGAGATTGCCACATAGCTACACAAGGTTCAGAGCACTCACAGGTCCAGTAAGTCACATGTAAAAGCATTCTTCCTCCCTCCTGCACACCCCCTCTGTCCTTCACACCCCACTCATGGACATGTTTGAAGAAGAACCGCTGGTAGTGAGCAGCCTTTGGAACACCAGCTCTAGAACATCACCACTCAAGCCTTGTGTGATCTCTCCAGAGCTCCAGCCTCTCCACCTCGACATTCCCTTCCTTCAAGGAGCAACCCCCTAAAGGCTACAGAGTGAGCCAAGCTGCACTGGTGAGCAGAGAGGGAAGAGCTTGGCTTTCCCAAGAAAACAGCTCAAGTCTCTACCTACAAAGATCCAAAAGCATCCCTCAGTGTGAGCATGACAGAGCACCCACAACTTCCATGCTGAGGCTGAAGCAGCACAATATGGCACCAACTGAAGTCAGGGGAGTCTCTGTTCTGCAGTTCAATTGTACAGCAGAAAGAGGCTCCATGCTGTGAGAGCTCATAACCACTCATAACAGACCCACTGCCCTGCTCCAGGCTCACACCGTATAACAGAACCTTGCTGTGGTGTTGGTTTCAGCAGTCAATGCAAGGGTTTGAATCAACAGCAAAGCAGCTTCTATTTCCTAGAATGACTGGTTACAGACACTGCAAAGCAGGCTCATGTGGAGCTGTGCTCAGAGCTGCGCTCAGAGCTGCAGAGCTTGCAGGTATGGAGAACAGAGTAAGGGATTTTGTTGCATTTCCTCAAGATGAAACCAGGTGTTCCTCACCACTGGCTTTAGAACAGGAAGATGATGATTAAGACTCTTACAAAAAGTCAGACCAAACTATGGCTGTTCTGTCAGACAGCACCAGCAGAAATAAGTCACCCTGTCCCCTCATGGACTGGATGCCTACAAGTCTCAAAGGTTACTGGGAAAAGGTAGTCAAAAGGGCACAAAGCAGAGCCAGTCTGGTCATCATGAAGCAGCATCCAGCAGCTCGTGCAAAGCCTGAGCTGAAATACTTTGCTCTTCACAACACAAGGTCTCTTACCAGATGCCCCAAAAGCTCAAAAGGTTCACAAGAGCCCAGTAACAGGTTTTCAGTAAAAGTGCTGAGCACCTTCCTCCACTTGACTTAAAGAGCAGTGGTAGAAAGTGCTCGTGGTTGTGCTCTGCACACTTACCCAAGGGTGATTTTGGGCAACCCCGCCGGGTGCTTGTTCTCAAAATGCTTTTGAAATGCAGTTTCCATTTAAGAGGACAGTGGAGTTTTAGATCAACACATGACTCAGTTGCACAGATAGAGCTCAAGGTGTACACACAGATAAAACACACTGATCAGTTTTCAAGCCCAGCACCACCCAAGAGGCTTCCTGATGCAGTTTTCCACCTAGACACAGCAAGCACTGGGCCACCTGGGTGGTGCAATGGCAATAATCACTATCTCAAAGCAAGTCTGAAATGGTGCAAGAGAAGCCCCATTCTGAAGGCCTAACAAGCCACTCAGCTCATCCCTTGCACTAAATAACTCTCTCCACAACTCCTAATCCATAAAAATAAAGAAAGGAATCAGAGCAGCATGCACGTCAAGCAAACAGCACCTGAAGTACAACAGAGCATTAACTAGGAAGCCAGACCCCAACATGCAGCTCCAGTCACGGCAAGAGGGCCAGGCCAGTGGCCTGCACAGGCATTTGTTACTTTGACAACTGTGAGAAACAACTGACAGACACTCAGAACCCAAACTCCTACTGCAGAACAGAAACACGCTTGTAACATGAACATGGAAAATACTTAACATTGATGTGCACCTTCAAAGCTAAATTTTAGTTCCAAAGCTCATTTCAGCTGCAAGCAAACCCAACTAAAGCAAAGACAAGCAAGGGCAGAAGCTCCCACAAAGTTCCCCTAACACAAGCCACAGAGATTCCAGAGTTGAGGAAATGTCCTCCTGATCTGTTCCCAGGCTGCAGCTCTAATCTCTTGATAACACGATGGGTTTCTCATTAAAAATGGCAACTTCAGGGATTAAACAGCTGCCAAATGAATGAGTGGGGAAGCCACTCGGATGTCTTCACTCCTGCTGCTGCCTCCTCACTTGACTCACATCACTGAGCTCTGCCACTCGTGAGGGAAACAGGAAAAAAGCCTTCCCTGGAGGGAGGGTTTGTGGCCTGTGACTTTACACACGCTTACAAGAGCCCAGGCAGCTTAAAGCACCGATGACTACACGACATTTAACATGGAAACGCTACATGATGAATGCAAACTGGGCAGAGAGTGGAGTTCTGAAAGTTGCAGACACAAAACCCATTAAGAAGCTTGGCAGACATTTAAGACTGGGTCATAAGGTAACAGACAGTTACAAAAAGGCAGTATTGAAGCAAACCCAAATAAAAGGCCAAACAAAAGCACCACTACATACTCTGAGGAGACCTTAGAGCAGCTCCAGTGCCTAAAGGGGCTCCAGGAAACCTGGAGAGGGGCTTTGGACAAGGGATGTAGGGACAGGACAAGGGGAATGGCTTTAACCTGCCAGAGGGGACACTGAAATGAACTCTTAAGCAGAAGCTCTTCCCTGTGAGGGTGCTGAGGCGCTGGCACAGGGTACCCAGAGAAGCTGTGGCTGCCCCATCCCTGGCAGTGTTCAAGGCCAGCTTGGACACAGGGGCTTGGAGCAACCGGTCTAGTGGAAGGTGTCCTGTTGCAGGGGGTTGGAAATGGAGAAGCCTTAAGGTCCCTTCCAACACAAACCACTCTGTGATATGATTCCCCTAAAGAAGAATTCCCAAGTCCTCAGTCAAATTCTGATACTGTGGGGTTGAAGCACCGCACGTTTAAGGGCAAGAGCTCTTTGGAAGGTGGCCTCTACAGAACATCCCACAGGGAGACCCCCAGAGCTGACCAGTACCAGAACTGATTTGTAGAGCAATTCCAGGCGTCCTCTACTGCTGCACAGCTTCACCAACGCATCTGGTTTAAGTACATATACAACTTAAGTGCTCACATCTTTCTTTAAAACCAACTACTGTCACAAAAAAACCCTTCTGGGCACCCTTTATATGCTTCAGTCCTGTCATATAAAACAAGCTCGATTTTGCTCCTCTCCCTGTGCATTCCAGGTCTCCTCAAGAGAGTGGGCTTCTAACTACCAAGTGCTCAAACCCCTTCTTCTTGCACTGACGGACTGAACCTCATGCAGGAGTTTAAACAAACACATTCGTGTGTGCCAACAACCAGACTTTTATACCCAAACAACAGACCAACCCCAAAACCCCAAACCACGGTAAAAAGGCATCGCTTTAACCCAAGATTTAAGATCATGACAATAAACGCACTGAGCGCATGAGGCCGCAGCGCTCGGGAGCCTGCTCGAGGAACACCAGCGGGCGCAGAGCTCCCGGGACCAGAGCTCCTTC